GAGACAGGGTCAGATAAGATCAGTTACAGAGGACCGGGCAGCAGGTTATACACTATGAATTGAAAATTGCACACACACAAAAATGACACTAACCATGCCTCCCACAGCACTTTCTACTCATGCAGGGTTTGATCATTTATTACAATGACCGCACTGAACTCAACAACAATACTCACAGTTATGGAATGTAAAGGACAGCTGACAGGTTACAGTTTTGGATGAGAAAATGTTCATGGCATCTTCTCAGTCTTGCCCACAGGCAAGCCTATCTCTGCCCGGAAAATGTTACAAAATTTTTTAGGGCTCTTGATAATTTCTTGTAGGGTATACCACTCCACTATAAGCTTCAACCTGAAAGCACTTGGTTCTAGCTCCATGGGTCAGCAAATGTAGCTTCCTCAAGTAAGTGTCTTGTGGTACCCCAGTCTGCAAATTAGCCTTCTGCCCAAAGTTACTCAGCTTTACTTCCTCTGTGGGCTAGAATACCCACTGTACCCTCTTGTGTTCTGGATTTTGATCTTGCTGCTGCTGTTTCTTTTCCACTCCTCCAATGTCATAGCTTTCTCTTCCTGGGTCAAGGAAGTTCAATGTGCAGGAATCTCGGAGTCCAAAGAATACACTCCACTCCTGCTTTTTTAAATGGCAGTGAGACCCCCCCCCCCTTTTCTGCTTCCGAGTTGACTCATTTTATACCCAGCAGGATGACAAAATTGACTAATCACAATGATCCCTATTAAAAATCACGCTGAACTGAATTATATAATACATCGGCATCTTCTCCCACCTTTCTTTTCTTTTTTTTAAAACCCTAATCCATCTGGAAAAAACAAACAGTTGTTTGGTGGGAGTTACATAGACTATGCGTAGAAGAGCCATATGAAGTAATTTATTGCACTGCAGGTCACCCCTGTCTCTTCTAGGATTTGGCCCTTTAATACTTGAAGGATTAACTTTTCCCATAACAATCATTTTAAATGAGCACATCCATGAAAGATTGTATGCCAGTCACTTCATTACTTTATTCCCTCTCATTTTATATATCCAATTTCTAAACTCTTCATTCTTATCAATCTAGTACTCAAAGGAGATTAGCATGTTCATTTATCTGAAGTCTTCCATTCTAGTTGAAAATTTGAGCATCTATATACATATGCAAAGTCTTGTCTAGAGTAAGCCATCAAAATTGCAGCAATTTGCACCAGCTAACAATATCAAACATCTTTCTCTATTTGGTCGGGGTTTAGTCAATTCAGCCCTAACTATCCTAGCTAGGTCAACATGGTGCCAGCTTCAAGAGCTTCAAGCTTAGGAGCCACATACTACCCTTTACCTCATACCAGCTAGCTGTCCCTTTCATTTGATCTCTCTCAGTACTTGTCCCTATGAGCTAGGTCAGTGCCTGTAGGCTTAGGAGTCCACACAACTCCCTAAACTTCAGGCCAGCCAGCCCTTTCTCTTCTCTCTCAACCTGTCTCTGCACTGCTGCACTTGACCCCACTTCTACTAATCAAGTGAACTCAGGTGTTCACCACCAGCAGATCAGCCTACTTGCTCACCAACTCCCTTTAACTTTCAGTTCCAGAGACGGGTTTTCCTTGATGCACACAGACGTTTCCTACCTTGATGCATCCTGCAAACTGCTTACTCAAAATTCAAAATGCCCAACTCACTTCTTTTTTTACTGCAGGTATTCCCTTCAAAAGTAAATTATCTGTACTCTCATTTTTGGATTGGGACTCAGGTTTTCTACTTAAGCCTCAGTAATCCATCCTCTAGCTACTGGCTTATAATAAAACCTCTTATCATAGCTAATCAAGTATAGGAGTTGTGGTGTTGCACTGCAGAATAATGTACTGAACAAAAGTTCATTTGAACCTCAAGATCAGCAGTTCAAAGACACAATCCACTCCTCAGAAACCCTAAACAGTGTTACTATGAGTTGTTACTGATTCAAAGGCACTTAACAACAACAACAATCAAGTATAAGTTGATGGTAGACTTACAAGTTTTCTGTAATCATGATACCCAATATTCATTCCTATCACACATGTAATAGGGCCTTGGGCCTCTGATTGGCATGGTGGATCAAGTAGGCCCCACCCCCTATTAGTTATCTTGTTTCACCAGTTCAGGTTTTGCCCCAGGTGACTACAGTTGCTGTTTTATAAGTCCATCAAGTCAATTCCTACTCAGTGACTCTGTTTAGGGTTTCAGAGGAGCAGTTGGTGAGTTTGAATCATCAACCTTGTGGTTCACAGTCTAGCGCTTATCCTATAGTACCACACCAGGGACTCCAGTAGCAGCGATATATCTCTTACATTCCTTTCAGCTACTATAGGTAACAATAACTACAGTAACCATCTAAGAAACAAATATTTCAATTTAATGTCCTATTGTTCTTTCTTTTACAAAGACCCATGTTTCTACGAGTCTGGAGCTATTGCAATGAATACCTCATCTGACATCAAACTTCAAAAAAAAGTGACATCCACTATCCCTCCCACAGCACTGTCCACTCATGCAGGATTCAATAATTCATTGCAGTGGCCACACAGAACTCAGAGACAATATCCACAGGTATGGGGTTTTGTGAGGTTGGCCCAGGACTGGGCAGTGTTTCATTCTGTTGTGCACAGGGTTGCTATGAGTCGCTACCAACTTGATGGCACCTACCAACAACAACAACAACAGGTTACAATTCAGGTTCAGAAAATGCTCAGGGCACAATTCTTTATTCAGGGCAGTCTTTCCTCAACCATGTCCACAGGCAGCCTCTGTCTGTCCAGGCAATATTGCAAAGGTCATTTAAGGTGCTGATAAATGCTCACAGGGCACCTTATTCCACTACAAGCCACTATAAACAGTCATCATCAGCTTCTGAGCTGACCACTCTGCCTTGAATTTCACTGGTCCAGCAGATCTCCTTGAAAGTCATTTTAGAAAATTACTTTGAATAGGGTGAAGGTCTACAGAGCAAGTCTGTTTTCCATTTAAAAACCATATACATTTTGTGGTATGTCACTGATTGCAATCCCCACAATGTAACTCCACATATCTCACATCCTCTCTGTATTTCCTATTCTAGTCTTCCTTCTTTTGGGGAATCACTGTTTTAATTGGATCTTTTATTGAAGACATTCTAATGACAGTAAGACAACTGAAAGAACTTGGTAGCCATCCATTGGTTGCAGAGAGGTTTAAACATATTTATACTCTTTCAAATAAACCTGTGCCTGTATGAACTAGAACCCTAGTAGCAACACTTTTTGACTTATCCTCATGTTTGTGTTTGTGTCTCTTTTAGCTCCATATTTCTTTACAAAATAACAGTTGGAAATTTAAGGCAGTTTACCTGTGTTGCTAAACACAGGTTACCACTCTTAATTTCTTTAAAATTGTTGTTGTTGTTGTTAAGTGCCGTCGAATCAGTTCCGACCCATAGCGACCCTGTACAGGGTTTCCGAGGGTGTAAATCTTTATGGGAATAGAAAGCCTCATCTTTCTCCCGCGGAGCGGCTGGTAGTTTCAAACCGCTGACCTTAAGGTTCGCAGCCCGATTCGTAACCACTATGCTACCAGAGCTCCTTTAAAATAGGTCATGGAAATAAAATTATGCACATTTTACATATGAAGAAACCACACTCTCAAAAGTAAAACAACTTTCTCAGATCATTTATTAACAACTCATGATAGCAATTTAAATGTGGCCAATAAAACAGCACAAGTTGACCAAGCTTAAAAAACAAGTCTAACTTAAACTATTCACATTGTTTCTATACATCAAACCCTTAACATTTGAGCTGTCTTGATGCTTATCTTCCAGAGGTGTCTGTCTGGTAGCTTCTATCAAATCTATTATCTTCTATCAGGAGAAATTTCCACCTCTCTGAATCCCTGATTCCATCACTGAGTGAAAATGAAGTCTGCCTTAAACATTAGTCGAACACCTTTTCAGATCCACAGGCTACTTGCACTTTGGTTTTGATGTTTATTATTCATTTTATATTTTCATATAGCACCAATATTAAAGACTTTCTGCCTTTAATTTGGCCTTCTAGTCTGTCAAGGTTCTCTTTCATTATTTGATAGATCATTTTATTAAAAATCACCTGCATTTAGTTAGGAGTCAATTTTGCCTTTAGCAGTTAAATTAAACTTATCTATGTCCTCCTGGTGTAGCTTTGTAGGATCAGCACTGGACTGTGAACCGTAAGGTTGGCAGTTCAAATCCACCAGAGGCTCTTTGAAACCCTATATAGGGTCACTATGAGTTGGAACTGACTTGATGGCATTTAACAACAACAACACTAAACTTATTTCAGATTTAATAACCACTTTAATTAATTTGCTAGATTTTGCATTTATAACACAAAAACTTTATTTCATTATATATTTAATAAAAAACACCACCATGAAATAAACATGAAATAGATGCTGTTGTTAGATTCCATGGAGTCAGATCTGATTCATAGTGACAACATAGGTACAACAGAACACTGTCTGGTTCTGTGCCATACTCTGACCCATTCCTAGGATTGAGACCACTGTTGCAACCACTCTGTCAAAACAGATGAGATTTTGAATTTTATTTTTAAGTGTTTTTATCCCCAAAGTCATATGGTTAGTTAAGAGCAGTGTTGGATTTAAAACAAAACAAACCAAAAACCTACCTCTTCAAGACTTGTATTTCTTGATCTGTACTGAGAACTTCTTAAATAGTCTCTATTCTTGGTAAAGTAAAAGGGCAATAAAAACAGGGGAAACCCTTAATGAAATGGATTGACATATAGCAAGAACAATGAACTCAATCATACCAGCAATCACAATGACGTGGCAAGAATTTTTTTCTGTTATATATACAGTTGTCATGGGTCATAGACTTGATGGAAATTGCCAACATTTCTTCTTCTGTCTATTCTATGTACAGATTTGATGAGATCTCTGCTTTTGACTCCTTGTAACTTAAACAAATGTACTGCTATAAACCAAAATAATAATTTTTAGTGAACCTTCCTCTGAAAAAGGAGGTGAAAGATTCCCTGGCGGATCTGTTTGGTCTTTACACTGTAAATGATGGGGTTCATCACAGGGGGTGCCAGCAGGTAGATATTAGCCAGGACCACATGGACCAGTGGAGAAGCATGCTTGGCAAAGCGATGAGTCATAGATACACTAATCATGGGGATATAGAGGACCAGAACAGCCAGGAAGTGGGAGAGACAGTTATTGAGGGCCCGGAGCCGCTCAGCCCAGGTGGCTGTGCCCAGGACACTCCTCAGGATGGTTGCATAGGACAGCACAATGAGCACTGGGTCAATTGCAATGATAAGCAACACCACCACAAGTGCAAACCAGCTGTTGACCGTGATGTCAGCACAGACCAGGTGAATCATGTCCTGGTGGAGGCAGTAGGAGTGAGAGAGCTGGTGGGAGTGGCAGAAGGGCAGGCGCTTGAGCAGGAAAAGGGAGGGAAGAACAGCTAGAACACAGCGGCCAATGATGGCTACTCCAATCTTGCCAATGACTTCATTGGTGAGGATGGAGGCATAATGGAGGGGGCGACAGATGGCCACATAGCGGTCAAAGGACATGGCCAGCAGGACAGAGGATTCCATTAAGGAGAACCCATGAATGAAGAAGAACTGGACAAAACAGCCTTCAAAGCTGATCTTATTAATGTTGAACCAGAGGAGCTGCATGACTGTGGGCAGGGTGGTGAGGGTGAGACCCAGGTCAGTCAGAGCCAGCATGGAGAGAAACAAGTACATGGGCTGATGAAGAGATGACTCTTTATGGATGACGGTGAGGATGGTGATGTTACCTGTGATGGAGATGGTGTAGAAGAAGCCAAAGGGGATGGAGATCCAGATATGGATGTTCTCAAATCCAGGGATGCCCGTGAGGATGAAGAAGAAAGGATCTTGGGTTGTGTTGTTCACCTTGGACATGACAGATGGATGAAGATACAAAAATTCTGTTTTCCACAGTAAGAATCTCATCAGGATGCTGGTGTCGTATAGTCATTATCTAATTATCTCTTCAAAACTCAAAGATATATCTGGGACTATTTCTTCTAATGTTGCTGAGTTATATAATTAACTAGAACACCAACAACTGCCATAAATATCTATTCTAAATGAGCTTATTTTGTTCTTGAATCTTCCAAGATTCTACTTTTCACTACACTTTAATTTATGCTTCCTAAAAACCTCTTGTATTACATATTCACCTACTTTTGTACATATGTTTCTATGTATGAGTATATGAAAGGGCTTCAAAAAGTTCATAGAAAAATGGAATTAAAAGAAAATGGAAATTTTCCACAAGCATTTTGAATCCCCATTGTATATTTAGGTCTTTGCACATTTCATTATAATACTTGACTTATAATACTATAATACTTGTTATACATTATAATACTATAATACTTGTCTTATTGAGCTGCTCTTCAAAATGTTCGAGAACAAAGATGTCAATTTGAGGACTAAGGTGCACCTCACCCAAGCCATGGTATTTTCAATAGCCTCATATGCTTGTGAAAGTTGAATAATGAATAAGGTATTCCATAGAGGAGTTGATGTATTTGAATTATGGTGATGGATAAGAATATTAAAAGTACCATGGACTGCCAGTAGAGTGAACAAAACTGTGTTGGAAGAAGTACAGCCAAAATGCTTCTTAGAAGCCAAACTTCATCTTTCATACTTAGGATATATTATCAGGAGGGAATAATTCCTGGAGAAGGATATCATGCTTGATAAACTGGAGAGTCAGCGAAAAAGAGGGAGACCCCCAACGAGATAGATTGACACAACGACATAAACTATTTGCTCATATAACAAGGATTGTGAAGATTGCACAGGATCGGGTAGTGTTTTGTTCGTTTGTGCATAGGGTTGCTATGAGTCAGAACTGACTCAACAGCACCTAACAACTGATAGAATCCCTTATCCACATGACAACAACAACAATTCACTAACTCAAAATGCTCTCACTAACATTTCAAATAACTTTCTAAAAACCAATTAAGACTAATCTCAGAGTATTTCCTACTTAGCATCACAGAAAATAGAAGATACTTCTTTTTCTTCAGTTGGACAGGATTGAGTGAAAGGAAACATTACAGATGATACCTAGATTTCTTCTTTAGCAACTGTGTGGATTATAGTAATAATTATTTTTAAATGGAACACATGAGTAATAAAAGACTCTTGGGGAAAGATCAGCAATACAATGTATGTATGTTGAATTTGATGTTTATAGGAGCTATCCAAGAGCAATAATTAAGTGGATGGATATAAGATTCAAGTGTGTGTAAGTGTGAGTGTGCATGAGCACTCAAGGAGGGAGAGTTGTGGGAATAGAAGACGACACAGTGAAAGGCTATCAGAGATCAGAGGATTTCTGAATTTGCACTTGATCTTTTTTGCCCTTAGGGCACACCTCGGGTCATTGCATGCAGGTTAAGAACACAGAAATGAATAAATGCTTACTATCAATAGAAGCTTGATAATAATTTTACTATGTTATAAGACAGTTAAGGTTCCTGGATATTGCAATCTTAATACCTGACCAGTAACCAAAATGTTGATGGTTTGAACCCAACAAACAGCCTCACAGAAGAAAAGGCCTGGAAACTTTCTGTTAGAGACTACAGCCAAGAAAACATTATGGAGCAGTTGGTTCTACACTATAACACATTTGGTCACCATGAGTCAGAATTGATTCAATGGTACACAACACTAACAATGATGCACTTATTTCTAGCCTTTCAAGTAACTCTTCTTACGGATAAACATCTTAGAGACTCTACCAGGTAGGGGATAATGAGGACACTTGCACTATGTGTGTGTGGCTTGCTTAAGTCTTTGTGTTTCTTCCGGTCCTGTTTCTTTGCTGGTATGACTTCTTCTTGTGTGGTAAGGTCTCGACTCAACTGATAGAAAATGCTGAGGAAATAAGCATTTTACCTTCATATAGGTTTACAATCCTCACTATAGGACAATTGCTTGGATGGGAAAGCTCAAGCCCTCCTTTTGCATCATATCATGTGACTCAGGAGCTCCTGCCTGGTTTGTGCTGGTTTGTTCAGATTTTCCATACTTGCCTTAACACCACCGCCCCCCCTTCCCTTTAAGACATTGTTGAACTATTGCATGGTAGAGAGGAAGATAAAGAAAATAGCAATGGAGGGGATATCATGCAGAAAATACCAGTTATCAGAGTAACATTTTTTGAAAGATTATCTGTGACAGGATCTAATGTTTGAAAATGTTGGCTTCAAATGGCCAAAGTTTAGGTGTTAAAGGAACTCATGAGAGCCAGGTTACTCTTTGAATTCAGTAGGGGGAAGTGATGAATCTGTAGATAAAATCACTTCATTTCATGGTCATCACATCTCCTAATCCAAGTCCAACCTCCTCTCAAACTGTCTCTGAAAGTGGGACTTCTCAACCCTCTCCTTAGAAGTATTTCCTGTTCCCAGTCATAATCAGTTTTCCTGCATGTAGTCTCCTCCTCTTTTCACTACTCATTCCTGGGACAGTCCAGCCTCACCTGTGATCCTTCAGCACTCTCTGTGACTTCTGTTCTCTGCTCCATGGCTGTGTGTGGTTATATGCTCCCGCAGATCCAAGGTTAGAATGCAGGATATGGGTGGGGAAACCTCTGTAAGAATTTTATAGTAATATAAGGAATGTGCTCTGAGACTTGAGGTCCTAAGGGACAGAACTGGAAGCCAGTGACTTGTTCAGAAGAGGTACCTGTAGCTTCCGGTAAGCCCTATGCCAAGAAATCAAGAAAACCTTGTGAGAAACTGATTTCGTTCTGATAGAGACGCAAGTTATTGTGAAAATCAGTTCTGAGTAGCTCTCCAGCAAGGTTGTATAAACTTAGCAGAAATGGGTAAGATGTACATTTCAAGGACCATTCTTTGCAAGAAAGAGTTGCCTACGTTCTTTAAGAAGAGAAACATTAGTTTCAGGACTGGAGATTTGTTTTCAATTTTCTGAAAATATGTAGCCCATTCAACTTTAAATTTGAAATAAAGTGATAGACTTATATTTTATCTTCCTCTAAAGCCTAGTGGGAGTCCTGGTGTGGCGCTGTGGGCTAATGCATCAGACTGCAAAGTCATTTGAACTGCAAGATTGGTCACGAATCGGGCTGTGAACCGCAAGGTCAGTAGTTTGAAACTACCAGCTGCTCCGCGGGAGAAAGATGAGGCTTTCTGCTCCTGTAAAGATTTACAGCCTCGGAAATCCTTTTCAGGGTCGCTATGGGTCGAAACCGACTCGACGGCACTTAACAACAACAACATACATATGTACATATATCTACATTAGCCCACAGCGCCACACCAGGACTCCATAATATATATATATATAAATGTGTGTGTGTGTGTGTGTGTGTGTGTATAAAATACATACACATATACATCTCTAGATTCCCTCTTGCTCAATATCACATGTATTAGGCTGGGTTTTCTAGAGAAGCAAAACAAGTGAAATGTATATATATATAGATATATATATATGTGTGTGTGTGTGTGTTTATGCATGTGTATGTATACATGTTGTTGTAATGGGCCATGAGAGTCAGTTCCTACACATAGTGAACTTGTACAGGGTTTCTGAGGCTGTAAATCTTTATGGGAGCAGAAAGCCTCATCTTTCTCCTGCGGAACAACTGGTAGTTTCGAACTGCTGACCTTGTGGTTCGCAGCCCGATTTATAACCACTACGCTTCCAGAGGTCCTTATGTATACATATGTATACATGTATATGTGTATCTGTGTACATACATATGTATACATATGTATGTGTATATATGTCTTTGTATATACATATATATGGAGTCATGGTGTGGTGCTGTGGGCTAATGTGCTAGACTGCAAGGTTGGTGGTTCAAGCTCACCAGTTGCTCCTTGGAAACCCTCTAGAGGGCCACTATGGGTCAGAACTGACTCGACAGCACAACAACAACATACATATATATGTATGTTGTTGTTGTTGTTAAGTGCCGTCAAGTCGGTTCCGACCCATAACGACCCTGTACAGGGTTTCTGAGGCTGTACATCTTTACAGGAGCAGAAAGCCTCTTCTTTCTCCAGCGGAGCAGCTGGTAGTTTCGAACTGCTGACCTTAAGGTTCATAAATATACATGTATGTAAATTCCCACACTCTCAGTATCACATGTCTTAGACTGGGTTTTCTAGAAAAGCAAAACCAGTGAAACATACATATGTATACACACATATACATGTATATATGTATGCATGCATATAAATATGTTGTTGTTGTTGTTGTTAAGTGCCATCGAGTTGATTCCGACCCACAGCAACCCTGTATAGGGTTTCCAAGGAGCAGCTGGTGAGCTTGAACCACTGACCTTGCAGTTCAAATGGCTTTGCAGTCTGGCGCATTAACCCATAGGGCCACACCAGGACTCCTCACTAGGCTTTGGTGTTGTTAAGTGTTGTTGTGTCAAGTCCGATCCATAGTAATCCTGTGTAGGGTTTCCATGGAGCAGCTGGTGGTTTGAACCAAACAATTGACACAAAGTGTATACATCTTGTATACATTAACAAGATCAAGACATACAATTTATTACACCTGAGTGGTAAGTTTTGGTATGTGATCTATGTGCACTTAAAAATAATATATAGTAATGTTCTCCCAGGTAAACTATCACAAAATTCATAATAAAACTTTAAAAATACATATATAATATGCAGGCAACTATGGTTTTATAGATTTTTAAATCATGCTTCCCATACCTTTAAAAATCTTACTGATTTTTTTTGTGTGGCCTACTTGTTGAATCAGTTACTAAGAAAGGCATAATAAAATGTACCACTGTGATTCTAGTTTTGTCTACTTATTTTTAAAATTCTGATCATTTTTGCCTTCTGTATTGTATAGCAGTTGAATCATTGGTAGCAACAACGAGGTCAAGCCAAACAATTGTGAGGATGGCTCAGGACTAGACAATGTATTGTTTTGTTGTAAATAGGGTTCACAGTGTTTTGTTTTGTTGTGCATGAGTCAGAACTGACTTGACAGAACCTAGCAACAACAACAATAACAAGTTTTTATGCTTTAGGTATTGGGATCCATAGCCAATTTGGAAAGTGAGGAAACTATTCATCATGACAACCTATGAGATTACAGCCACTGTGTAGGCTTCCCAATGCAATACAAGTGAAATAGAATGATCATCATCACCAAGAACAAGACAGGATGATGATCTCTTGCTATTTTATCACAGATACAATGACTTTTGTTGTTGTTAAGTATTGTCGAGTCGGTTCTGACACATATCAACCCTGTATAGGATTTCCGAGGTTGACTGATGAGTTTGAACACTGACCATGTAGTTCAAACTGACCTTTAGGTCAAGTGCTTATCCTATGGCATCACACTAGGACTCCAATACAATGTCTAGGATCTTGAAAAAAAAATGGCGCCACATGAGTACTCCAATACAATGTTTAGGATCTTGAAAAAAATCAAACAAAAATAAAGATAAATCAGGATGTGATAACCACAATGGGAAATTAGTATAACCTGCAGGTGAAGGTGGTAACAAACTGTTGATAACAAATGCTATCAAAGAAGTTAAATAAGTACATAAAACAGACATTGTTTTTGTTGTTGGGTGCCTTCAAGTCATTTCCGACTCATAGCAACTCTATGCGCACAGAAATATATATAGACTTGTAATCACTTATTAAATGATTCATTTACCAAATGTTTATTGATTACTATATTCCAGGTACCAAAGAAGACTTTTGGTGTACATGGTGAACAAGAGAGACACAGCCCATATCTCACTGAATTAAAATTTAATGGGTAAGAGAGACAATAAAAAACCAATACACAAATAATTACTTGATTACAATTCTGATACGTAATATGAAATAAAGGATAAGAAAGAGTCTATGAGAATGTGTAATGGTGTAGAGGGCAATCCAGTCTTGACAGCCACTTGAAAGCTACTCTGAGAGAGATATGAATACTTATAAATCTAGGCTTTTACAAATTCAAATAAAACAAGACTTTCTCATAAAAAATATCTCCCATCATATTATCTTATTAACATTCATTCTGCAATAACTTCATTTCCACCCAACTCCTGAAAGCTGATATCCAAATTACCAAGTCAACTGAGGATACCTAGGGTGAGCAAACTTATTCTGTTTTTTTCCCTCCAATTTTCCATCTCAACCTCCATCATTAACAAGTTATTTCAGTAAGGTCTTAGCTGGAGGAGCTTGTGTTTGTCTCCAAAGCCGGCATACTTCAAGAACCGAACAGATTCATGATTTTCAAAATTCTTCCCTGTGGGTTTAATCTCAGACTTTGCTCTTATTATTTATTTTGCCTTTAATTAGTCTCAATGCATGAAAAAGTTTTCAGTATATAAGTGTGAACAAGTATATAATTTACCATATTGTTGTATCCAGTATGTTATATATGTAATTTTAATAACAGAAGAGAGTATTGAATACATTATTTTTGGAAACTATTTAATGATATGGATACAGTGAAAGTCTCCTTTGATTTGTCTTTAATCATTGTAGCCATCTTCAAAAACAGTCATTTAGGTTTTTTTGTGATACTTTAAATGTATTTAGAATTTATATTAACATATGCATATATTTATAAAAAATAGTTTATATACTAGATATTTTATGCAAATGTTATTATGTATGTTGTTGTTGTTGTTAAGTGCCGTCGAGTCGGTTCCGACCCATAGCGACCCTGTACAGGGTTTCCGAGGTGTAAATCTTTACGGGAGTAGAAAGCCTCATCTTTCTCCTGCGGAGCGGCTGGTAGTTTCGAACCGCTGACCTTAAGGTTCGCAGCCCGATTCGTAACCACTACGCTACCAGAGCTCCTTATGTATACACACGTGAATATATGGGTTTTATATGTGTCTTGGTTTATCCATATGACTTGAATGGAATCCTGGTAAGCTCTCTAGGCTAAGCAGAGTTGTTAACTGAAAGACCAGCAGTTCAAACCTACCAGCTGCTCTTTTGAAACTTTATACAGAATTGCTGAGTCAAAACAGACTCGATGGCACTTAACAGCAACAAAATATTATTTGAATACCAATCCATGCAAGGACATATCATTTTGTAACTTTTAAAAGTTTTATTTTTTTAATATTAAAGAATAGTCCATGGTAAGGATATCCATTTGGGAACTTTTAGTTTTAGTGTTGTTTTTGAACTCATATCAAAGTTCATGAAATGAAAATCTTAATTCAAATTTCTGAGCCTATGTGCAAATATCAGAGGATGAATGTAGGGCAGTACTAAGAATTGGAATTTTTGGAGTCCTGGTGTGGCACTGTAGGATAGTACTGGACTGCTAACCACAAGGTTAGTGGTTAAACCCATCAGCCTCTCCTTGGAAACCCTATACAGAGTTGCTTTGATTTAGAACCTAATCAACAGCACTTAACAACAACAGGGCATGTGCATTTAAAATTGATGCACGTAACAAAATAGCTGACAGAAACTCTACCATACTAACTTAGATTACCAAGTACAATGTATAAAAATATATTATCACACATTCATCAAGAGGTAGCATTAGCAAGGTTTCCAACATTACTAAAGTACACAGGTTTTAGTAATGAAACTGACTGACTTTTGAGAAACTACCGCCTCTGCTTTAACCCCCTTAATATTTTCTATGAAGGAAGAGTTGTAGCAACCCCTGGCGAATCTGTTTGGTCTTAATGCTGTAGATGATGGGATTGAGTACAGGAGGCACCAGAAGGTAGACATTGGCTAGGAGTAGGCGGACAGCAGGTGCAGCATGTTTCATGAATCGATGTACCAGAGCCACACTAATCATAGGCACATAATACACAAGCACTGCAGAGATATGAGACACACACGTATTGAGGGCCTTCCGCCGCCCTTCTCCAGAGGTAATGCCCAGCACTGTGTGGAGAATCAACACATAAGAGACCACAATGAGCAGAAAGTCCAGCCCAAAAGTGGAAGTGACAATGCAGAGCCCCAGAATGCTGTTGGGACGAGTGTCTCCACAGGGTAGCTGAATCAGATCTGAGTGCAGACAATAAGAGTGGGAGAGGGTATTATGGCCACAGAAGGGCAAACGCTTCAGTAGAAAGGGCAATGGGAACATTAGCATCACACTCTTCAGTCCAAGGGCAGCTCCAGTGCCAGCAATACGGGGCAAGGTCAAGATAGTTGTATATCGTAGTGGGTTGTAGATGGCCACAAAACGGTCCACAGACATAGCCAGTAGAACTCCCGATTCCATGATAGAAAAGGAATGTATGAAGAACATCTGCAGAAGGCAGGCTTCAAAGTTGATCTCATTGGCACGAAAAAGGAAGATGCTTAGCACAGTGGGCAGTGTTGAGGCTGAGACACCAAGCTCAGCAAAGGCCAGCATAGCTAGGAAGAGGTACATTGGCTGGTGGAGAGAGGTGGTTTTCTTGATTACTGTTAAGATGAGGCTGTTGCCCACAAGAGCCACAAGATATGTGGAACAGAATGGGAGTATGAACCAGGGATACAGAGCCTCCAGACCTGGGAAACCAGTGAGTAAAAAATATTTTGGGGTGAACTGACTGATGTTGAACATTTTTTTTTTTCTTTGTCAAGAATCTGTAGACCTTGGTTTAGGCAGGTGCTAGGGATTCAACCTGGAATGAAACACGTAAAAGCGATAGGTTAGATAATGAGAGGGACCTGGAAATTGTTCTGTCGATATTTACCTGCTGACTTCTGTCCCTCCTCACATTCCATGTCAGGTTACCTCTGTCCTTCAATATTGTATGAAGATTTAGAGTCCTGACTTGCAAATAGGTACAGAAAAAGGGAATCTCATGGGAAATTTTATTATTCACAATTCAATTTCATCTCCATAGTAATTTCATTAGCGTATCTGGCAAGAATTAAATATTTCCCATGTCAACTTATTGTATATGGAGTAGTAAGAATACAATATACTTCCAATAATGCTATGATTGTTACTGAAATAATAATGAAAATAATATCATCATAAATACAAATCAGGAATTTAATTTTCAAATGCAATTTTTATTCAGTTCTTTCTCCTCACTTCCTCATAGATATTCTTTTTATAAATAAACTATCTTAATTTATTGCAATTTTTTAATTGCTTAAAATTTTCTAGATTGAAGATATCGACTGTGACTCTTTGTACTAACCTTATTATACTGAGATTTTAAAGATCTGCATGTGTGTTTGAAAAAATTTCATCATATCATCTGAATTACAAGAGTCACTGGATCCCATCCAAGTTTTTCAAAATCCACTGATCTCTACAAGTCATTATGAGCATTAAGAAAAAAGAAGTATTTGACTGAGAAATGAGTATGCATATAGAACAGCCAGAATATTGAGTATGACCTGCTTTGCTTTTAGAAGAGAACATAAAGTTTGAAAGTGAAGTTCTTAATTCATGAAACAAGAAGGGAAAAGTGATCTAGGATGCACCACGAGTTTTGGGTTTAGGATCTCCATTGTCTGGTATGCTAATTTTGAAGACATCAGGAGAATAGTGAAGAGAACTGTTCCTAAACTCCATGCTATCCTCTGGCTCTCAAGATGATGTGTTAGAGAAAGTTAATGACCTCTGAATATGACCCATCAATTAGAGTTAATAAGGGGAAAGGTGATTTTTCTTCCTTGTGCCACTGTTTAATATGAAAGGAAATTTCTTTTTATCTAATATATGTGACATCTTTGAATTATGCAATGTGGGAAACTCCACTTAAAAGATATAACTCCTTAATTTAACACCTCTATAAATCCTGACCCATCCTAACTTGTCTTTTTCTCCCTGATTTTTCCTACCTGTTTTGTTTTGCTTTTTTCCTTATACTTTCTTCTCCCCTCCATTTCTCTCTGTCATTTCCTTTATGTTTACTTAGCATTTGGGTGTTACAAGCACAAATTATATTTTAAATAAATATTTTCACACCTTCATTGTTCTATAATATCTAGCTCAGATGTCATTTCATCTGTGGTGGCTTTCCTTACTCATACATATGGCTAGTCATGTTCAACAGAAACTTCCCACACCATTTATCTCTAATTTAGCACTTGCTTTTCTATATTGTAATTTAGTTGTTTAAGTGACTTTCTTCTAGCAGTTTGTGAACCTTTCTGGGGAAGCTTGAAGCCTATATTTTTAGCATATTATCAGGGCTTAACATATAGGAAAAGAGAAAGAGAGGGAAGTGATAGAAAGGAAGACATATGTTAATCAACAGTGATATTATTCTAGGCTGGGTATTTGATGAAGAAAAGGCTTTGTCTTCTGTCATCAAAAGGGGGCTTTTATAAGGACAGAAGATTACGTAATGTTATTTTTACTGCCATATACATAAGGAGCTGTTATGGTAGAAGGTAGTTGTTATGGAAAAAGTGAGCTATGAGGGTTGATTAAAAGTATAAGAAAAGGCTAAAAACTGGTGCTAAATTGAGCAAAGAAAGAATTATGAGAAAAGAAAATAAAGTGCATTGATTTAGTACTACATGTTAGATACCTTGGAAGTGTGCTTTATACATATTATCGTTGTATATGTTAACTCACTAATCTTTAAAATCCTCTAAGGAACCTAATTGCACCATTTAAACTTGGGAGCTTGAAAAATTGATATTTCTTTTGCTGATGTCACAACTGCTTTGTGGCAAAACTGAGGTTAAAGTTAGAAGATAAAGGAAACCTGAACAAAAGGAATTCTCTGTTATGTTTAAGAGGAGAGAATAAAGATGAGGCTTTGTCAAGCAAGAGAGAGAAATAAGTGGGGAGTGAAAGACCTAGGTCACCAGAGGATTGGGTTTAAGATGACTAGGTCCTGAAGGCTGTAAAGATGGCATCATGAGGCAGAGGGGAAAAGACTTCTATCACTTAAGACACCTCTGACTTGGTTTGGGAGACAGAGAAGAAGAGGGTAAAACGATTTAAGAAAGGAAGACAGATTTAAAAATAGAAGGTAGAGAGACATTAAGTACCTAACTGAAAAAAAAAAAAAAAGACTGAATTTTGGAAAAAATTGAAGACGTCTCTGTTTATTAAATTTACAAAGAGGAGCTGGATACAAACATGATTCAAATCTCCTTCTGCTTCTACAAGACCTTCTGGACAAAAATCTGGATCCTAAAGAGAGAATGGACTTTCAGGACATGAGGGAAGTGGGAAATTAAATCTGTGCTAGAAATGAGTTGCATTTAAGTATAAAAACACCAGGTTGCTCTCACATGGACATAAATCCTATCCTCCAAATCCAACAGCCTGATCTTCCAGGGCAAATCTGGAATCCCTCTATATGAGAACCCACCTGTTAGTCAATGTAGTTATCTCAATCCAGGACTCTAGCTCACTAGCTGGAAACAAGGGGATGATTGGTCTTTCTATTTACCATGACCCTAGAAAGAATACTTCTTCTTCTCCCAAATCTCTAGGCACAATTCCCTGGGGCACTCAGGCAAATCATTCATAGAAGAATGGGATTGATCCCGCAAGCATAATTGAGCCAACAACAGAGAATCCCCAGAGGTACTTTCATGGGAGCCACAAGAAAAATTGACAGAAATTATGAAAACAGATGATGTTTGTGTATGTTGTATTTTTTTTTTTTTACACATGCAAAAGTACTTTATGCATGCATGCATAACTATGATCCTTGCAGCAGATTTGCCTAAGGTAATATGTTGTTTGATTTCTTGACTGCTGCTTCCAGGAGTCCAAGCAAACTGAATTATTTGACAAACTTTTCTTCAATTATCATAATATTTTTTATTGGTTTGGCTTTTAGGATTTTCATTTTCAAGACTATAGAGAGATACAACAGTATTTTTGCACTTAGTTCTGATCTCAAAATTGTTTATTTATTGGCACAAACAGTATCTTTTTTTGAAGGCACTCTAACAAGACTAAGATCAGTGTATTACTGACAGAACTTGCCTACAACCATCTACTGACCACAGAAATATGTTTAAACATTTTGTTTGTGATAAACCGATGCTCATATGAACCTGAACCCTAGTAGCAGTGCTTTTTGACTAATCTTGGTATATATATCTATATCTATATCTATCTATCTATCTATCTATCTATCTATCTATCTATCTATCTATCTATCTATCTATCTATGTTGTTGTTAGATGCCATCGACTTGGTACTGACTCATAGTGGCCTTATGCACAGCAAAACAAAACACTGCCCGATCCTGGGCCAGCCTCACTACTGTTGCCATGCTTGAGTTCATCGATGCTGTCACTTGGCCAATCCATCTCTTTGGGGGCCTTCCTCTTTTTCTCTGACCCTCCACCTTACCAAACATGATATCCTTCTCCAGAGAATGGTGCCTCCTGAAAATATGTCCAAAATATGAGAGATGAAGTTTGGTCATCTTAGCCTCCAAGGAGCACTCTGGCTGCACTTCTTCCAAAGTGGACTTATTGGTTATTTTGGCAGCCCATGTAACTTTCAATATTCTCCTTCAACACCATAACTCAAATGTGTCAATTCTTCTATGGTCTTCCTTATTCACTGTCCAGCTTTTGCATGCATATGAGGTTATTGAAAATATCATGGCTTGGGTCAGGCACACCTTAGTCCTCAAGCTGACATCTTTGCTCTTCAACACTTTAAAAAGCTCTTGTGCAGCAGATTTGCCTAATGCAATACATTGTTTGACTTCTTGACTGCTGCTTCCTTGAGTGTTGATGGTTGATCCAAGAATAATTAAGTCCTTGATAACGTCAATCTTTTCTCTATTGATAGAATGTTGTTTATTAGTCTAGTGGTGAGGATTTTTGTTTTCTTTACATTAAGATGTAATCCATACCGAAGGCTCTGCTCTTTGATCTTCATCAGTAAATATTTTAAGTCCTCTTCACTTTTGGCAAGCAAGGTTGTATCATCTGCATATCGCAGGTTGTTAATGAGTCTTCCTCCAATCCTGATGCCATGTTTTTCTTCATAGAACTCAGCTTCTCGTATTATTTGCTCAGCATACAAGTTGAATAAGTATGGTGAAAGAATACAACCTTGTCGTACACCTTTCTTAATTTTAAACCATTCAGTGTTCCCATGTTCTGTTTGAACAACTGCCTCTTGGTCCAGGCACAGATTCCTCATAAGCACAATTAAGTGTTCTGGAATACTCGTACTTTGCAATGGTGTCCATAACTTGTCATGATCCACACAATTGAAAACCTTTGCATAGTCAATAAAACACAGGTAAACATCTTTCTGATATTCTCTTCTTTCAGCCAAGATCCATCGGATATCAGTAATGATATCCCTTCTTCCATGGCCTCTTTTGAATTTGGCTTGAACCTCTGAAAGTTTTCTGTTAATGTATGCTTGCAGCAATTTCTGTATTACCTTTAGTAAAACTTTACTTGCATGGGATATCAAAGAGATTGTCTAATGATTTTTGCATTCCTTTGGCTCACCTTTCTTTGGAATGGGCACAAATATGGATCTCTTCCAATCAGTCGGATATTTAATATATATACCAGCAGCTCCCCAGAAACCCTATACTGGGTTGTAATGGGTCAGAACCGTCTCAACGGCACTTAACAACAACAACAGCAACAGAA